TATTTTGAAGAATGTGGGTGACCAAACACTTTATGGTCTCCATTGTCTTCCATAGTAATGTGGACTATGGTAGTAATAGTTTGGTTACCCACATTCTTCAAAATATCTTCTTTTGTGTTCAAGAGAAGAAAGAAACTCATAGAGGTTTGGAACAATTTGAGGGTGAGTAAATAATGACATCATTTTTATTTTTAGGTGGATTATCCCTTTACAGTAGATACAGAAGTTATGAAACCGTTTACACTAGCACTAAACATCACAAGATATTAAATATAAGACTAAAGCTCTATTGAGCATAAAAGCATGCATGACCCGTTTATCTGGCGCCTGAGCACATGTAAAGAGACAGTGAAGAATAAAGCTACTCAAGAGGGTGAGAAAATCACACTCTCGGACACTCTGAGACTTGGGAATGTGAACTCTGCTGCTGCTGTCAGAGAGAAAATTATCACCTGATCTCCATACTGTCCCTCAGACCAGAGTAATATCAGCACAGGCGACCAGAACCTCCTTACAGTAGCAATCTGTCTCATATTTATAATTTGGTTAAATAGTAAAATTCTACCTATAAGTTAATGCAAAAAAAAAAAAAAGTTAGAGGTTTATATGGAGAACAATAATCAGAAAAACCACCCTGACACTACAACATTAAAACATAAACGCATTCAATAAGCTGACAACAGGATGGGATCTACAATTCAAGGTTATGACCAAAATCCTATAATCCCAACGAAAAGCATAAATCAACTTTTGCTTGAACTACTTATGACATTTCCTTGACCAAAAAAACAAAACAAAACAGGAAACACATGGCTCTATGACAAAAATGAGCCTGACACAACAACACTCAACTAAATAATCAAGTTTAGGGAGGAATAACTTGTTTGTCCAACCAATGGCATTCAGGAAAACTGTTGGGGAAACCCGTTTGCAAACAGTGATTATTATTCTGTTTGGTGATGCTACACGCTTTAAGGTGAAAAAGCTTAAGGGATCTAAACACCAGAGAAAACTCTGTCAGAAGTGTTTGATAGCTAGGAAAGATGTGTTTTTTCAAGTTGGAATACAGCAATTTACAGCCAATAAAATCAACACATTCACAGCATTTCCTGAAGCAGCATACTCTAGTGCACCTTACTGCATAAAAACTTGTTTATGAAGTTTACTTCAGATAAATATCAAGCAGATCTACATTTATGGTTAATTCAATTCAGTTTTATTTATACAGCACTAAATCAACAAATATTATTTCCCAGCACTGTTAATACCTAACTCAAAACACAACATTGCAACTGTTAATATATATATATATATATATATATATACACACATAGATAAATTTTTTTGAAGTTGAAAATAAAACAAACATTATTAGATTGTTTTACAAGAACATACTATTTCAGTTTTATGTTGCATTCAGTGTGTTGCCGTTTCTTGTAATTATTTGTGAAAATTACTAGCAATTCCTAAGTGAAAATAACTAGCTTTTTTCAAGTAAATCCTATTCCAAGTTTTCAGTGTACACTAAACAAAAAAATTGGTGGTGAAACAATTTATTTACTCAGAACTTGCTGGTAAATTTCACAAATAATTACAAAGAAATGGCAAGTAAATTGACTTAACATTTTTTAAGACAAAAGACTGAAATAGTATTTTATTGTAAAGCATACTCCAAATATCTGTTTTATTTACAACTTTGAATTATCTTTTTATAGAATGTATAGACAGCCTTGTACCCTGGATATCGTGCCTTTAAAGCCGTTGACTGGTTAAAAAGCAGACTGTGATCTGATCTGGGGGAATGACCCATGCATACTTGCCGGCGCCGTGACCAGAGCACAGCAGAAAATGAGCTGAGATGTCATCAGCACAGTGAGGTGTCATATGAAAGTTATTAATGATTACACAGACATTACTGGATGAGATAATCTCAGACAGAGCCAACATGTTCGCTACATACCGTCAGCCAGAGACAAATACACACCCACATCCACACACACAATAAATACATTTTCAATCCCCAAAGTAAGCCCATAAAGGCCCAAAGCACATCCTGAAATATCAGGCTGCCAAGTTTGGTTGAAGCTATGAAGGTGAACAGCGTCTATACAAAGTCCTATTGCTATTCAAGGAGCGATGCTACTGTAGATCACCCCCAACCCCCCGTAGTGGTGGGATAGAGATGCAATGATGGATGTCTGTCTGGCGGACAAGAGGAAGGGTGTGCCATTTGGGTCACTGCAGACAGTTTAACGAGTTTACTGGAGTTTACTGGAGTGCCGCAGGGGTCTGTCCTGGGAGACGCCTAGGTTCATGCATCTTGGACTCCACTATGTCTGAAGACTAGAACAGAATCTTTGCCGCAATATGAGACTGTCGTGGCTATATTCTCTGTACTATATTTCTCACAATCACACTTATCCATACTGTACAGTCTTGCAAATGATATCCTATTGCATCAGTTACACAAATTAGTTTGTGAACTAGTTTGAAGAACCAATGAAATACAAATTGGACTTTTCTGGCCTGAAACTTGTGATCCTGAAACTTATCTCACAATGTACAAACCAATGTATGGTGAAAGTTAAAGGATGCAGACATCAACATAACTGTAAACATTATGTAACTGAACTTATAGGAATTGTTCACCCAAAATTACAATTTTCTTAAAATTAACTCACACTCAGGTCATCCAAGATGCAGATAAGTTTGTTTCCTCACTGGAACAGATTTAGAGAAATTTAAGCATCACTTGCTCACCAACGGATCCTCTGCAGTGAATGGGTGCTGTCAAAATGAGTCCAATCATCTCACAAAAAAACATCACAATAATCCACAGTGTCAATGGACTATTTCACTGGAGGGAGTGTTATTATGGATTATGTACTGGTATTTTACAAATCCTAAATTTCTCCAATCTGTTCTGATGAAAAAACAAACTACATCTTGGATGGCCGGAGGGTAAGTACATTTTCATTTTTAAGTTAACTATTCCTTTAACAATTAAATTTAAGATGCTGACTTTGTGAAAGGAACTTATGCAATTTCTTCTTAAAGTAATTTTTTTTTTTCACATACAGCATCAGTAAGTTTATATTACATCTTAAGATACAGTATTGCAATGATAATAACACTTGAGTCTAAAGTCTTTGTGTAAATCTTACCCAGTACAGATTGTAGATTGCCACCAAATAGTTCATCATCTGCCTGCATATTGCACACAAAAACAGCAAGAGCTTTCTTATTTTCATTTTTAAGTTAACTATTCCTTTAACAATTAAATTTAAGATGCTGACTTTGTGAAAGGAACTTATGCAATTTCTTCTTAAAGTAAGATTTTTTTTTTCACATACAGCATCAGTAAGTTTATATTACATCTTAAGATACAGTATTGCAATGATAATAAAACTTGAGTCTAAAGTCTTTGTGTAAATCTTACCCAGTACAGATTGTAGACTGCCACCAAATAGTTTCAGCATCATCTGCATATTGCACACAAAAACAGCAAGAGCTTTCTTAAAAATCTCAAATCCAATCAGCTGGCTTTACAGTTTCTGGAAGTCAGCGTGCACAAGATTTTAATCGGTTCACTGCAAAAAATAATCAAAAGTCTGTGAGAACCTTTCAGGAAGAACTATTCCTATAAGAACTGTAGATATTTTAATAGCGTCTCTAAACCATATTATAAAAACTTATTCAGAAGGTGAGTTTCACATCTGCAAATCAGTTCTTTCAACTGTATGTTGATGAAAGTCCTGACAATCTTGCTGCTGATTTCTAAAAACTGAGCGTTGGTGGCCAATTCTAGTTTTAGCATGTTTAGACCATACATAATACTAGTAGGTGGAAAAATACAAAATAATGAACATTCTTTAAGGTAAAGTAAACCTTCTTAAATTGAGAAATATACATCAGGACAGTTTGATCTCAGACAGGTAACAGACAACACTTTATTTCTCAGATAAACCTGGTAACAAAACAACACAGTTAAAACAAAAATACAGCAAAAAGAAGTTATTCTTGATTTTAATTTTCATTTTGTTTTGTTGACAACAAAGAACCTGAACAGATGGAGATGAGAATTAGCAGGATTGAAAATAACATTAAAATTTCAAAAAACGTCAAATCGGACACCTATGCTTGAAAACCCCTCACTCACTCGGTGTGCTGCAGTCTGAGGACTACTTTACAACTACAAATTACAATATCTGATGAAACTCGCCTTTCCCAGAGTTCAAAGCGCCGTAGTCCAGGGCTCCATCCTCGCTCACAGCAACACATGCAAATCCACGAAACAGATAAAGCACACCAAGATGAGACAGAAGAATAAAAGACAAGTTGCTTAAAACAAACGCAAATGCACACACACACCGTTAAAGTGTTTTAAACCTCACGCCATGAAACACTAGAAGTAGTAAATGTAAGATGACTAAAGGTTTTCTAATGACTAGAGCGTGCTAAAGAGGAATCCTTGGCAAAACTACAATAAATTATTTTCTCGTTAGGTTTTGTATTTGAAATTATGCTGGTTTTGCATCTAATGTTTGTCATTTCACCCAAAAAAAAAAAAAAACTGACGCTTTCTTGTTGAAGATCTAGAAGGCTCTGTACCAGGTGGTGATTTACAAAATGTTTTACATTTCCATGAAAATACTGTTCGCAAAATATAGTCAGGCATTTTGATCTACAGCATAATTGTGATATTCAAAACAATAAAACTAGTAAAGACACAATATATATGGACTTCCTACCAAGAGATGCAATTTTATTTTAGCAATTGTTTTTTGATGGCATTGCAGACGCCTTAGGGTAAAAGTTGATATGGCATATTTTTACGAAAAGATTTTAACTTCATTACTGTATGACTCCATAACCACTGGATAATGGTGTTGAGCCATGCTAGATGTAATTAAATCTCAGGACAGGAAAACAGGAATCTCAAGAACATGTTTGGGTCGAATTTCACCTCAAAATCAAAATAATTTTTTTTTTTTTTTTTTAATACATGATGAAATGAAGCCTGTATTGTAGATCATTAAGATTTCTTTGCATTGTGCACAATTAAGCAAATGTCCCCACCTAAATTCTCATTAATGCAATATAATAAATAAAATTTTTACACAAATCTCAGTATCACAGTAATAAGAAACAAGTGAAAATCAGCATTGAGATTAATAACTAATAAAACAAATGCATTAGAGTAATGAGAATTTAGGATGAAATGTGCTAATTTGTTATAAAAACACAAAAATCTCAATGGTCATATAAGGTTAAAAATAGGCTTGTGCAAATTTATATTTTATACTCTTTCTTTTAATTTCAGGGTTAAAAGTTGTTTTTTTATTGTGAACTTTTATTTTCTATTACAAGAATGCAAATGAAAGTGTAATGGCTGGACCAATTTACAGTATTCTAGGCATCATAAAAGCAAGTTTATTGTAGTTTTGCCTGTAATTTCCATTAAAGAGTACAGCCCTGGTACAGTCCTCTAAGACTGAAAGAGACAAGCACTATTCTTACACTAAAACCATCCGTCCCTAGCCTCCAACCTTATTTAAGACCGTGTTTCAATGATTTGAAAGGTTTATTCTTTAATTTTTTGCATTTCAGAGATTGGTTAGAAATACCCAGCGGTTGTGGGAGTTGGGTAGGAGTTCTGTAGTTGTGCTGCGGTCAGACCTTTGTAACGGTGCACTGACCGTCGGGGGACCCCGAGCGATCGCCGCTATGCGCAGGGCCACCACCAGGGGACGGTCTGTCCAACTGATGCAGTCTATGCCTACCCTGGGAGCCTTCTGTGTGCTCATCTTCACCTTCGTCCCCAGCCTGCTCATCTTCATCCTCGCTCGTGCCAGACTCTGATTCGTACCCCGATGGGTCCGGAGCGGCCGAATCGTCTTCGTCGTCTGCATCTTCCTCTTCCGGTTCTTGCTCAGCGGGGTTCATATTGAGTTGGGAGAGAGCCTGTACAAGCTGAATATCACTGGAGGAAGCAGGGCTGGTCAGGTGACCACCCAAGACAGTTGGCGGCCTTACGGGAGCAGAAGCAAAGATGCCTTGAGGACGTCCTCCGCTGACTCCAGTGTCCGCTCCATCTGCTGAACTCTCTCGCTCCGCTGTGGCACCATCAATGCTTCCGCTTAAATCCGCAACTGCGGGTGCTGCAGGAGCTGTTCCCGCTGCAGGACTGGGATTGGGATCTGGATCGAGTCTTAATCCGGCCACACCTTTCTTAGGGATATCCACCACATCCCTCTTCATCCTCCGCCTGCGGCCGTGTTCATTCCTCCTGTACTGCACCATGTTCTCCAAGTCGGCCACGTACAGGAAGCCGGCGATCAGCATCTCGGCGCTCTTCTTGCCCTTGTTGAAGGCGTCCTCTAGCTCTCGGCTAGTCCGCTCGTCGTACTGCCACCATCCGTTACGCCCCTCGTAGTACCACGCGTGGCCACCAGTCCCCGTACCACGTCCGCCTGTCGCCGAAGCCTTCAGCTCTTCAGGCGAGAGCAAAGTGGGACGCTCCAGGAAGTCCTCGGGCACCTCCCCTCTACAGAGGGCGCAGCGTTTGCTGTGCCAGGAAGCTCCTTTTACGCATAGGAAGCAGAAAATATGTAGGCATGGCAGGCGTACGGGATGGACGCAGCTCTGCAGGCAGATTGCACACTCAGGAATGGGCAGCGAAGGAGACGAAGGGGATGGACTTCCCTCCGTCACAGACTCCCCACTCACCTTCTTGCCTGAAGTCAGGGAGTCCATGGAAAGATTAACCTCGCCGCAACTAGCCATGCTGTGAAGAAAATGAAACTACAATTATTTCACAGGAGAAAATGCATGGAAAAACAAGTTTGGAGAAATGTGCTGCCTACACAAGCTAACGTCAGCAGTACATAAGCAGATGTAACAAATGGGGCACTGTTTACCAAACTATGTTGCCCATGTCCATGGAAAGATTAACCTCGCCGCAACTAGCCATGCTGTGAAGAAAATGAAACTACAATTATTTCACAGGAGAAAATGCATGGAAAAACAAGTTTGGAGAAATGTGCTGCCTACACAAGCTAACGTCAGCAGTACATAAGCAGATGTAACAAACGGGGCACTGTTTACCAAACTATGTTGCCCAAGTCGACAAAAGTCACGAGTAAACAGCGCTTGCTTGAGTTCTTTGTTCATTGTTGCTCTGTATGATTAAAGCTCTTGCATTTCCAGTCTCTCATCTGACAAGTATTACTCCACTTTAACAAGAAAGAGTGCCATTCATGTATTACAGTGTTTCTCAACCTTGGTCCTGGGCGCCCCCCAACACTGCACATTTTGTATGTCTCCCTTATCTGACACACCCATTTCAGGTCCTGGAGTTTCTTTTAATGAGCTAATGAGTTGAATCAGGTG